TACACAACCAGGAGTTAGACCTGCCCCCCAATATTTATTAAAAATGTATAAATATCATAAATTAACTGTATCAAAGATAACTAAATGTTCTCAAAAGTAGCTAGCAGGCTAATAAACACTAGAATGAAAAAAACCCCCAAATTAACCGAAGTATTAAAAACAATAAATGTTTATCTATATAATAATAATATTAAATTAGCTAAAGATTGAGAAAATAGTTAGTTAATCAGGACAACAGACAAAAACTTTTATAAGGCCTACCATAAATAGCCTTATATAAGGTACAACCAATATTAAATTAGCTAAAGATTGAGAAAGTAGTTAGTTAAACAGGACAACAGACCGAAACTTAGGCCTACCATAAATAGCCCTATATAAGGTATAAAGTTGGCCAAAGCCATGGCTAAAGGTTAGCCTTGATATGCTCTAGCTAAATGCCCAAAAAGTTAGCTTAAAGGGACACAACATACAGTAAGAATAGGATGCGTACAGATGAATTCTGAACAGACCCAACTTGGATATTGCTAACATTATACCGAAAATTAGCTCACAAATAGCTAGGTGGAAGCTAAAGATGCAACAGAAATAATAGGTATAAAAACCACCAGGATATTTTGGATTTTTCTAACTAACAGAAGTGGGACTACCTCAAGGCAAAATAAAAGTTCAATTTCCTTATGAAAACAATGTTTTTTTGGTGATCTTTTGGTGTTTTTGGTTGGTATTGATTCTCTGGAGACGTGCTAACTTCCATGTCAAACCCTAATTCCTAGCTCCAGAACATAAATCCCTGCAGATTTGTGAACTGAACTGGATTAATAGTGAACGTTTCCATTGGAAGCATTTGTCAAAAGTCCATTGTTCAGTACCAGGTACGGCTCAGATCCAGTGACCAGGTCTGTGACATTTACAATGTAGACGAACAGATTGTTGGTCAGTTTGACCGCACACCACAAACAAGTGTGTCACGTTTTTCCTCTGGCTTCGTTCTGACCACACATCATTGTCTGTGGACACTGAAGTCATTATTCCGACATGGACGCAGAGTTGCTCTTTTAATCAGCTCACGGTCGGCAGGAGCCTCGGCGCCAGCGGCGGGAACAGCCTCTCATCTTGTGGCACAAATAGGGAAGCCCTTATGCCCCGATGCCAGTGCCAATATCGGCGAAGCATGACGATGTTCCCACACAAATATTTCATGTTGCACGCAGCGTCCAAGACACACAGAGCATGAATGAAAGAGGAAACCTGCCTTCTATCACTCTTAATAGGCAGCTGGCTCAAAGCAAAGCAGAGGGTCTCTGGACACACACCCACCAGCAGCAGTAATGGCCTTAACACCCTGATGTGGAAGTGGAGACTTTCTCAACCTCTTTGTTTTTCCATCTCCTGTTTTTTTTTTTTTTTTAATCCGAGAGGTTGAACTTTACGCTGACATTATCCAAAAATAATACATGTGTTAATTTTAACATTTATTTCCATTTCATTAATTAAAGCAAACATCGCCTCGAGTGGCTTTTAAAAGGAGTCCCACAACATTTGAGAAGGTCTTTAGCATATAGGTAATGGATACGCCACAGTGTGTTGTAATTGGCCTAAATAACATAAAAAAGAACCCAAAAAACGTAGGGTTATCTGAGTACAGCTAAACAGTTTCCAAACATTACTTTACGCTCAGCTAAACGTTAGCTAAGGGTTGTAAAAGTTAGCCCGGGATAATTACCATTAGGAGTAAAAGATAAACAACAGCCAAACAAAATATGAAACGACGAATCGCTGAATGTCAGCAAAGAAAGAGCCAAAAATAATTGGTTAGAGCTCAGAGTAAAGATAAAAACTGTTAGTAGCTAACGTCAAAGAAGAGAAGAAAAAATATAAATAAAGTAAAAAGAGGTAAAAACAACCTACACAAAAACAATCTACATAGGTGTAGATAGAAAGTTATTATTTTTTAAGATTAAATCTGTATGATGATTACCAGGAAAAATAAGTACATCTGTGTATGTAAATTTGTAAAAACGTTACTCTCATGTATACATGTAGATGGTTAGACAAAATATTGGACAAAGAATAATAAAAAATAGGCCTATAATTGTCTAAATTTGTCATGTGTTAAATGTTAGCCATAAAAGAGCTCCAAATTGATCAACATACTATTTGAAATTTGATTTGTTTAAATATAAAAAAATGCGTAAATACAAACAGTATATATAAAAAAAGTGAAAACTGTTAGCTCAGTAATGGCTTGATTAAAAATGGTTTAAAATAAGCCTAGAGAAACAGTTGAAAATTAGATCAAATCAATCCAAGCAAAAACTATAAATATATGAAAAGGTCACCTTAGATTTTTATGTAAAATAATATTTTTTTAAAAAGAAAAAAAATACAGAAAATACTTGGAAAAGCAAATTATTTCTTTGTACCCATTTGTTTTTTACCCAAATGGTTCAAACCTGTATAGTCTTTGAAAAAAAAAAAGAGCGACTGTACCATTAATTTCCATTTCGTTAATTTAAGCAAACACAGCCTGAAGTGGCTCCTGAAGAACATCTAAGAACTTTTTGAAGAAAAAAAAATCGTGCATACCTATTCATTGAGGCCTGTAATAAATGAGGTTTTCTTTACTAAGTGTCCCGGACTATTTTTCTATGTCAAAGCTCTTGATTGACTGCAGCAGGAAAAAGAAAACATCTTGACGCACAAGGCGATGAAGAGTTTATGTGTTTATTACCGTGTGGCAATAAAACTCCAAAGTTTGAATGTGATTTTTAATGTTGGCAGCCGGAACTTTTGTGCAAATATGTAAATGATCATATTCAGAGTCAACTGGCAAAATAAACATCAGTAATTATTCCACAGAATTACAGCTTCTAAAAATGTTATTTATTTACTGTACGGCCATACTGACAAACTTGGTGCTTTTTTGAATGGCTGTGGTTACATGGTATTTTTAAAAATTTATTTATTTAAAAAAAAATGTACACAAAATTATGTTTTTATTTTTTGTTTAAGATGGATACTGAAGCTTAATCGAGCTTGTAATGGACAGAATTCTCTTAAATTTTCCCAATGACTTATGCTCAGCATATGCATATTGTTTTCTGACGTCTGTGGACTGGACAGTTGAACATTTGAATTTAAACTGGACTATTGACCTGGACACAGAAATTGCCTTTATGATGTCAGAGTCATTTTCTTTCTTTCTTCTTGTCTTTCTACTAATGTTTGATTTTTCTTTCGGGACTGTACGCGGGGGCAAACACTGGACAACATTTTACTTTTTAAACCACTCAGACATGGCACAGAGCAGAACGCACGGGACCAAAATCCTGAGGCACCATTACATGTGACAGTAGAAATCATACCCTGAGTTCTTGCCGACAACATTGGTCACGTTCAGCCTGAAGACAGCTTCTGATGTCTGTTAGCAGACGTCATGTTTTCCCTTCCGAGCGTTTCTCCGTGCGAGGAGAGAGCGGTCGTCCAAAATCCCCAACATGTTGCATTTGTTTTGGGAACGTTGATGGGATTCCACATCAAGCGTGCTTTCCCTCCTCCCTGCTGCGTGCTGTCAGTGCAGTGACAATGTACTCATGATAATTTAAGTCAGAGGAACAGTTACGGTACATGTAATAAAGCAGGACTGACAGAACATTTCAATTGTCCTCCGTGAGGTTTGGTAATCCCCCGTGTTATCCCCATGTGCAGCTCTGTAACTTTAATGATCCGAATTTCTTTAAAAAAAAAAAGGGAAGGCGTTCCTCAGTTGGGGTGTATGTTGGAGCAGGAATTCCATTTTTCCCCACTCCATTCTGTGGTTATTTATCACCCCTGAGGCTGCAGACTGGGCTCACAGGAAGAGAAGCGTAAGTGCAACAGGAAGACAGAGGAAGGTGGACGGTCTGATCCCCGCCATGTAAATCAAGCGTCTTTTATGATGCTGGGCCACCCTGGAAGACGAAGTGCTCTTGTTGGGAGTGAAAACAGCCAAGCAGTACACATGTCATAACATTGACACCTAGGAGGGGTCAGCTGGGATCCATCCTCGGGCCACAGCTCCCATGTGCCTTCTTGCCCTTAAAACACCCCCCTCAAAAAAACCTGTGGAGACCCCTGATGTAACTATGGCACCTCTGCAGTCTCCGGCCTACATCAGTGGGAGTTGTAGGGAAGAGAGTTGGGCTTCTGTTCACCAAAACACCTTCTCAAACAATAAACAGAGGGTGTAGGTGGTCCTGTCAGAGTGACTGTTTTCACTAAATAACCGGTTACCATAGAGATGCTCTCTGGTGAACCCTGTAAATGACCAAGTCATCCACTCGTGCTGTGCAGTATTAGCCATCGTTAAACTTGGTTTAGATTTTTTTTTTATTGTTGAAAATATAATATAATGCATGGATAGATAGATAGATAGATAGATAGATAGATAGATAGATAGATAGATAGATAGATAGATAGATAGATAGTATCTAAGTAGATAGTATCTAAGTAGTAGGTTGATGTCAAAAAGAAAGGGCCCTAGTACAGAGCCCGTGTGTCTTTGGAACTTAAATCATCTGTTTTCTCCATGGACTTAGGTAAGGCAGATTTAAAGAAAACAAAAAACAAAAAAACAAAATGACCCAGTATCAGGTCATTGCCCTCCCTGCCACTAGAGAGCACTGTGAGCACTCATGGTTGGGGGTGGGAGAGGTGTGGGCACACCTCACCTGCCTTTCCTTTGTTCTCCACTTCCTCCATGTGGTCTGATGGTCAGTGTGTTGGTCTGTTGCAGATGTTGTTGAACGTCGTTGTGGGTTTGGGTTTAGTTTGTTGGGGTTTTTTTTTTAGCTCCTGTTGCTGCTCTATAAACCCCTGCTCTATATAGATGTTTGTTGACTCTTGCTGTTTGTGATTGTTGACTCAATCTTACTTCCTTTTTAATCTACATTTCCCCCTAGAAGTAATTGTTGCAGGTGCTCTATATAGATGTTTGTTGACTCTTTGGTTTACTTTATTTGGATGCTGTTTGTGATTGTTGAATCAATCTTACTTCCTTTTTCATCTACATTTCCCCCTAGAAGTAACTGTTGCAGTAGTTATTGTTAGCATTTATTAACAGCTATTTCTCCTTCTTTGTTTTTTTCTGAGAGTACTGCAGGAGTGGTGACCATGAGGCCGCCCTGGTGGTGGAGCTGACGGGTGTTTCTGAGTTTCTCACCTGAGCTCCACACTCCTGGTAAGTATGTTAATTGTTGTTGTTAATTTGGCACCTGTTTCACAGTTTATATTTTTGGTGTGTTTGCCAGCATGAGTGCAGTCCCCATAGATCAGGGATGTCAATCATACAGTCCGCGGTTCGGAATCGGCCCACCAGGGGGTTAAATCTGGCCCACTTGATGAATTAAAAGTTAAAAAAAAAGCACAAACACTTCATGTCCATGGTGTTTTTTCAAATTAATTGATTAAATACAAAAAAGCACAAACACTTCATGTCCATGTTTTTTCAAATTAATTAATTAAATATGAATACTTTTTAATATACCTGTACTGCTTTGTGTAAAAACAAAAGGGAAAAAATGTACTTGTTGTTATTTATAGGTAATTATCTGTATGTGGCCCCTGAACCAAAATGAGTTTGACACCCCTGCCATAGATGTTCTCCGTCCCAGTGCTCCTATTTGCTGTCTTTGTTGTTGTTGCTGTATTTGTCAATTGTGTGTTTTTGACTTATTACAAATTAAAGGTGCATTTGAATGTGTTTTGAACGAGTGTTTTCTAGAGAGTGCTGCATATTGTGTTTAATTAACAAAAAATTAAATTTGGGGGAAATTATCTCTCTATTTTTCCACCATTGTCATCTGTATCCATATGTGTTGACCCTACACAGAAGTACCAGGAGTATACAGGAGTATCTTTAAGTATCTTGCCACAAGAAGTGAGACTGATGTCAAAAAGAAAGGACCCTAGTACAGAGCCTGTCTAATAGAACTTAAATGATCTGTTTTCTCTATGGACTTAGGTGATGCAGATTTAGAGGGGAAAAAAAAACAAATGTAGGTTTGCAACCGAAAACAAATGTGCAAAATTTCCCAAATGCAGGTTTTATTATATGGATCTGCTGCTGGGTCTGTTACAATAAAAATAAGTTTTAAGAAAAACAAAAGAAGTACGGCTAATTTTTGCTACCGATTGGACTTTCCTGACAGAACTCCACTCGGCTGTCTCCAATGACCTCATGGTCTCATGTAAATAACATGCGTGCGCTGGTGGGAACACTCCGGCGTTTGTGTGGAAACACTTTGTCACTTTTCATTAATTCACGTCAGCCACTTTACACGCTGCTCACCCAGGTTATACACACTGCACGTGTGGCTCTGTTGGCGTTTAAAGGGGTGTTACCTGAAGTTTTTGTTCGGGCTCCAGCTTTCACAAACACCACCATCCAAAACAAAGAGTCTATTTAAGCAGGTTTGTAGGAACTAGCTTTTTTTTTTTAGCTTTATTAGCCATAACATCACTTTTCACTCTTCTGTTTGACTGTTGTATTAACCTAAGGCTAACTTTTAATATCCTTTGTATCCATTTTTCTGTAATATTTAGCCTTTTTGTTAGTTCTGTTTTGCTAATCATTTAGCTAGTATTTAATTGCATTTATGTAAAACACCAAGTCCCTAACATCATAGCAGTATCTATAACACTGTTCCAAACAGATTTTTACAAAATTACTGTTTGAATTTTTTTTTTTTAAAAAAACAACTTTAACGTAGATTTTTCCAAGTTACTTTCGTATTGGGCCAGTGGTCTGCTTTGTTTATCCCAAGTTGTTTAGATTTAGAGCTGTTGTTTTTGCTCTTACTGCAGCAGCAGCAGCAGCAGCAGAGGTATTTCTACAGGAAGTTCTGTGTTTACCTGCTGTGTGTGACAGGAGCCGAGGAGATGGCGGCCATAATGGCGTTTATTTACGTTCACACTCACTTACACAGGTCGGTGTCTGGCGCTGAGTCAAACCAGGGGGACACGTTCCTGCAGAGGGACGTCATCGGTGCCTGTGCTCATAAAACCGCTCACAGGTCGCCTACGACTGTTACTGCGGTTCAGGCAGCAGCTCCTGTAAGAATGAGGTGGAACGGTTCAGACAGTTAACAACTCTGGAAGTGAGTTCGTAGGAGCAGAGTGTGGTCTTATTGGAACTTATTTCAGTTAAATGATCTTTTTATATGAAATAAAAATAAGCATGTGGAGTAACAATAGATGGGTCATAAAAAAGCACTAATGAACCTTGTACAATGGAAGTGAAATTTCTCATTATAAAACACTGGGTCACCATTATAATAAAGGCAATGAATTTGATTTATTTTTTTACTTTGTAAATTTTATTTATTTTTTTTTTATATTTTTGCAGATGGTGGTACCATTGCATGATCCTGTAACTGGTACAAGGTAGGAACTATTCCTCCATATTCTAAAAACGTATTTAATCTTCAGTATTCAGAGCATGCAGGTTTGCCATCCCTAGTCTGAGTGATGAGTCCATGTTCTGACAAAAAAAAAAAAAAGAGAGAGAGAAGATACAAGAGAAGGTAGAAAATAGTTTTTGCCAAACCAGTCGGTTTAATTAAATGTATTATTTTTACCTACTTGATAAAAAAGGACAAACATCATTGACAAACACCTGACTCTGCTGATGATACAGACTACAACATTCTTATCTCATTGACTAATAATGGTAGTAGAAAGACACCTGACTCTGCTGATGATACAGACTGCTGCTTCCTAGATCAGATACCAACATTCTTATATCATTGACTAATAATGGTAGTTAGAAACTAGAACATTGAATAAATTAGGTGTTAGCTATTTCTTAGAATTTTACGCTTAAAATTTCTCAATCAATTACAAAATAATAAAAAAAAAATCAATCCATATGGCCATATGGCTAATTCTTCTAATCAAATAAAAAAAGCTGTTTTAGTCATTACTAAAAGGAAATGTAAGTGTAATAAAGTAATGCGATGTCTATTAGTTTTTGTCTGTGTATATACAGTTTTAGTGCACAAAGATAAAAACACATCTCCACATGGAATATTTTGTGTATATTTCCGTGTTTCTACAAATTTCTAGGTGGCATCAATTTCCAAATGTAATCAAACCTTATATGACCACATAAAACCAGTCTTTAATCCCGGGGAAAATAAAAGTTAATTTTGTGTATATGATTCTTTAACACACTGTTTATACATGTTTAAATGTACAGAAACATTTGAAGACATGGCAGCGGTGGAGTCCAGCAGCTCTCCGCAGTGGAACACTACCTGAATTTGCAGCCTGTATATTTGGAGCTGCTGTATATTTACGCCCGACTGTTTGACTTGGCATCGCACTCTTGATAATTTATGACTCATCTGGTGTCAATCTGCCATCACCCGCCTCATAAAAGCTACCAAAATCATGAATGTATTCTTCAGACGACGGGCAGCGTCGCTGTGATTTGTGGACTCTATCTTTCTCACAGCGGACTGGAGTTTGGGTTTGAATCAATGTGTCTCAGAGTCAAGTGAGAGGATTTATAAACCTGGGAGTGTCTCCGCGGCCAAATGTGGGGCACGCACAGGACCACAACGGAAACCAGGGGATTAATTGAGGAGAGGAGAGAAAAAAAAAGAGGGGAAAAACATCTCATTTGAACTTGTTTTCCCGCAGTTATTCGGCATCATGAAACTCTATACTTCCCCTTCTCTGAGCTGAAGTATGTGAGGCAAGTGTGAACCAACTTAGAGGTCAGAGAGGAGGAGAGGAAACACTGATTTGACAGCAGCTTTAACCGACCTGAGCGCCCAATATCAGGGGGACGTGATGTCAAAGAGTGCAACTCTGTAAATACGTTCATACTGTAATACACAAAAACCTGTAGTTAGTTCAAGTGTGAGAGCGGCCAAGTCATATAGACTTTACTTTGGTTCATGAATTCACATCAAATGTCTGTAATCACTATTACATATTTGCATATATGCAAATGTACTGATTATGGCTAAAATAATTAGCAGTGCCAAAGGTATTTGAAGTTGGAGGACAAAAAATATCACATCAAATGTCTGTAATCACTATTATATATTTGCATATATGCAAATGTACTGTTTATGGCTAAAATACTACAAAAGTAATTGAGGTTGGAGGACAAAAAATGCATCTGGTCAAAATTGCCAAAAAAAAAAAAAAAAGAGATTGTCCTTCTATCTTATACCTCAAATGTTTACCTGTTAGCAGTAATTGTGCTAATTGAGGAAAAAATAAATCAAGTTTTTGTGAATTTGAGCTGCAAAACAACATGACTTGATTTGACTTGACGTCTATTTCCTCTGTTATTCCAACACTTTGCCTCTCTCCTGGTAGGTTTTTTTTTTTTTTTTTTTTAAAGTTGACGAGTATGGACCTAAAACAGAAAGGTAGCAAAATATTCAATATCTTTTTTTGTAATTAATGGGAATAGTTCCAACTCATCTAGTGATGTTGATAGGTTTAGATTCCCGTTCTCCTTGGCTAAATTTAAGAGCTAGCTTTTCTTCAGATGATTCTTTCACTGTTTGAGTATCATGGCTCTTATATGTCACATATTTGTCACATACTGTATGTCAAACTCAAGGCCTGCAGGCCTAATGTGGCCCGCCACATCATTTAATGTGGCCCACCAGAGCTTTTTGTGTGTATGAGTGTCTTAAAATAGAATGATTTAGTTTAGTAATTCACATTTCTTCTTTAATGAATTCCATTTCAAATCAATCGCATTTATATTTGCTTACCAAAAACACAAATCTCCATAACGTTGATTTTGTGACCCCTATCCGGACAAGAACTTTGTCACCCTTGCTCTAAATAATGTGATTATTTTTTTAAAGGCCATTGAAAAACAACAGATATTTGCAAAAATGTGTTCCATCAAATGACGCAGACTTGCAAATTATGATGAAAATGAAAATAAACATCTGCGTCTTAGAGAGTCTTAGAGTCGCATAAGCTTTGCTAAAAGAAACCTTCTCCGTCTGCACTAGAAGAAAATATGTTCTCTCTTGTCCCCAATGTCAGAGAGGTAGAACGTTTTAACTCCGAATATCCTCTGTGGAGGCACAGCAGTGGGTTTAGACACTGCAGAGAGCTGCGCTCTCTGAATGTTTCATTATATCTTATGTTGCCTTCCCTGCACTTCTCTCCAAAGTAAGCGAGCAGCATAAACCGGAGCTCGAAATGCTCAACCCCCTTGTGACCACTTGGAGCAAAGCAGCTCTCCACTTTCTTATTTTCACCCTCAAACGAGAGCCTCTGCATAGACGATGTGTCTGAACACAGTGGCTGCTTTTTATTTCGCTCCATTTTGAAAGCGTAGGATTTCTCCAGGCTGAAAAGGAGGCTTGGAGTGATTAGGACAGGGCCAATATTTTTAGGTCCATAAACAGGCAAAGTGTAAGAAATATTTTTATAAGGCCGCGCTGCCATCACAAACATATTTAAGGGTGAAATGTTTGGGAGATGATTCGATAAGACGTGTCGGCTCTGCAGGAGTGCAGACATTTGCATGGAGGCAGAGAACCTTCTCAGACTGGTTCTGTTTAGTTAACACCTGTGGTTTCTCAAAAACAGGGTCAGGACCCAAAAAATTGTCACCGAATACCCAGTGTTGCCCAAAATGATTTTTAAAAAAATGATCAGATGTTAAGTTATAGGACTGATCTAACTGTAGAAAAAAAAAAAAGAAATTGCAAAATGTTTGCCAAGAAAACAAGTATATACGTATACTCGTAAGTCAAAATAGATATTATTTGCTAAACGGTAACAAAAAGCTCAATTTTTTTCCAGAAGATAAATTCTAGTTAAACCTCTAAATTTATAAGAAAACTAAGTTTCACTTCAAAATAGTTGAAAATAATGCCAAATAACTAAAGACACGGAAAACTTAGTTTTGTATTAGCTAAAGCCTAGCTAAAAAAGCTAACAATAATTTTCTTGATATCTAAGAAGCAGACACAAGCTCAACATGTTAGCCCAGAGGAGTATCCTCAAATAGTGGGGCGGGGGCCCCTGGGGGGGTGCGGAGAGGTGACCCAGGGGCGTGAGGGGCTTTCCATGGAATATGGCACGCTGGACACAAGTGTACCACTGCTGTAATGCTTGAATGATAAGCCTCCAGTGACTAGGTGGCAGCAACTCATACAGAGGTTACAGATAAAAATATAAATGTTATCAGGTTCTCTATAGTATTTCAATTCGTGGGTGGGCATAAAAAGAGAGTTATATGCTGTCCCTACTGTTTGACATGACCCCCTGATTCAGAACACAGAGGCAGGTGTTAGCAGATATCTGTGAAAGGAAACCGGAAATTTCCAAGTCTAAGACAACGCAACACATAATCCATCTCTTTTGATTATTGTCAGCTGGATAGAATCTAAATCTGGAAATCGTGGAAACCTCTGTGACACATTTATGCCCTTGAGTGTCACATCGAAACTGCTAACGGTCTCTAAACCTGACGCTGCTGGCAAGTACTGTAGCTCTAAGGCATAGGTGTCAAACTCAAGGTCCGGGGGCCAAATGCGGCCCGCCAAGCCATTTTGTGAGGCCCGCGGGAGCTTAAAAATATTTAATAAAGTCCATGCAGCAGAGTTTATCAACCTACGAAATTTAAAGTTTAGTTTTTATTCCACAGCAATGAACAATCTTTGTAGCTTGAATAAATAATAATCAATTGCAGATGCATCTATACCAGACTCTATTCTGTTTGTATCAAAGTCTGAATGACTTTTATTTTAAAATATTGCCAGATTATTGTTAAAGAAAGTAAATGGAAAATGTTTTTTTGAATGAAGTAAATTCGATTTTTTTCATTTTTTCACTGTGTCCCACTGCGGGCTGCTACCAAAGGACCTATGGACTGGTACTGGTCCGCGAACCAGGGGTTGGGGACCCCTGATTTATACAGTGTTCTGTTTAAACTGGCCCTTCTAGGGGAACTGTACTGCTGATGTGGCCCCTGGTGAAAATGAGTTTGACAGCCCTGCTCTAAGGTATCTTACAGTAAACAATCTAAAAGCTGAGAGTTATCAAACAAACAACAAACTTTACTTTAGACATGGCTGACAGACACTTCAGTGAATGATTTAACACACAGAAACACACATTGTGGAACGTTGTGAACACACTTCACACACTGATCCTATCTGTAAAATCAGGCCTGATCTTAATGACCTCAATCTTTTCACTAAATGGTTAATGAGAGTGATTTAAGGGCCACGGAGCTGTTAGAGTACAACAGCTGTGTGTGTGTGTGTGTGTGTGGGTGTGTGTGTGTGGGTGGGTGTGTGTTCAGATCCCCGCAGCCTCTTTGAATTCTTTGCTTGTCCAAGTGCGAGGACTAATCCAGCCCAGCTCCCTCACATCTGTTGAATATTAGCAGCACTAACAGCTGGGGTGGACCTCGAACATGGTCATCCACTTCACCTTGCTGTGTCTCTGAGGATAACCCCAGCTGCCTCACACTCCACATGACAAGTGCCCAATCTCCGGGCCTGCTGCGACAAGCCCCGGCCCCGGCGCTCGCCTCCAAAAACAGAGTCGGCCCCGTCTCTCTCTCTCTCTCTGTCTCTCTCTCTCTCTCTCTCAGGCTGGTATAAACTCCAGCTTCATGGGAACAAAGTGGGTGGTAACGTACAGCCATTCCAACAAGATAATATCACACACCATGTTTGATTTCCCATAATGTGTCAGCTTGTTGTTGGAATCAGTTGTGGCTCTGCGGTGGTTGTCCGTCAGCCGGTCTCCCGTGGACTTTGTTAAGAAAAAGACAGTGAGAAAGGTTTTGGTCACAGGCAGAGTCAGACTTTGAGGTCACGTTCATGTAAACCAAGGAATATTTTTCTTACTCCACTAGAGTTTGTTTTACAAATCCGGCAAATTGATGCGAGGAAGGACTATGTTACTCTTTAAAAAGTTAGGAAATCTCTCTGTCTCCGGCGTCACAGTCTAATACGTCCCCCTAAACCATGTCGTGTCAGTGACGTTAATAAGAAAGCAGGATTTCGCAAAAGCAATTTCTGTTCATTTTCGCTTGTGAAAATCTAAAATATATTATTTATTGCCTACTGCGTTTTTATAGGTTACATTATCAGTTATATGTGCTATTAAAGTTAATCTTAAGAAGTCCTACAATGAGGACATTTACAGTGTTGACATCAGCAGTGAGTACAGTACCTGGTATAAAGAGTGGAGTATGTCATAGTACTATAGAAGTGAAGATAATCAGTTTGCCACTTCTTAACATTATAGAGTCCAGGAATGTTTCAGGTATAATTAGATGGAGGCATGGCAGTTCTTTGAGGAATGCGTACTTCAAATCTCAGGAGGAAACAGAGGAAGCTGGTAGACCGACGCCCCATGTGGCCAAGTTTGTCATTGAAATGATTCAAAACAATGATAAAATATTCAAGGAAATTCACAAAAATGTATGAAATATAAATGATTGTAGTTGATGGCTGTCAGCCATTTGCAACTGCTGTTAAAAAGTTTCAGTTTTCAGTTTTGGGTTATTGTGGGTAATGTGTCAAATAAGCTAAATACCTTGTCTTTGTTAATTAGCAAAAATGCTTAGGAGCAATCATAACCCACCTACTGTAAGTCATTCATTGACTAACTTAATTAGCAAAAATGCTTAGGAGCAATACCTACTAAGTCATTCATTGACTAAGTATTAAAGGTGTAGTTCTAATTTCTTCCACTTAAGGCTTTAAAGACGTATGGCAATGCACATTCATCAGCATTCGTCAACCTAAAATATTTGTAACTTTTGTAATCTCTCAAAGAACAAAGTCAGTTACCAAAAATTTAAAAAAATTTAAATTATCATTTGGTAAATGTTTTGACTGAGTTACATTTTAGTAAAACATTATATTCAATAACAACTCAAAGACTAGACAGAAGGTCCTAAAAAGGATAATAATGATTCAATTATTGTAATATTTAATCTATATAACGATAATGAAGGTAATGAATCAAG